TCTGGCACTTTTCCAAAGGAATATCAGTTAATGTTTAAGTCTCCTTATGAGAAATTATTTAGAACTTAAATCTTTCTTCTGCAGATGGTTGCAAGGTCTGTGGTGCAACCTCAATGGAGGTCTTACTGAGGAATAACTTCACACTTGTTATCAACAACATAGCCTATTGTGTGTCACCTCCTGTAAAAGGTAAGAGCAATGCTTATTAACTCTAATTACCTCACTTCATCGAGTGAAAGAAATGGGAAGTCTCAGTCTGGATAAAGGAATTTCTCTCTGGTTTGGGTTTGTTTGGGGTTTTGTTTTTTTTTTTTGGGGGGGGGGAGGAGGAAGGAGGGGTTCTTTCTTTTTCTACCATTGGTTGGTCCTGCTTTTTGGGGTTGGAGGTGGAGAGGCAATGAAGAAGGGTGGGTTCTTGAAATGTTTTATATGACAAACTTTTTTTTTTCAGATAAGCTGAGTAGTGAGCATGCTACTGAAATGGAAGATATAAAATACTTGGTTCACAGACTGTATGTGGCTCTACATTTAGAAGATCACCAGGTCAGGAAAGAGAGAGAATTGCTACGGAAACTGGACCATCTGAAAGAAGAGCTATTGCCTCTTGAACAGGTTGGAAAGTGGGGTCACTTTTTTTTAGAAACTCAAAGGCATTTCCTTTCATCAAGAGTAAGTCCTGTGACAGAAGAAAATCAGCATGAATGGTTATGGTGTGTCTGTTTTGTTCATTATGTAAATGAGGCTCAATTCAGATTATTTTCAGTTCTTTTCACTCCTGGTATGCACCTTTCCTGGGTAGAAGCCACAACACCTGGAGAAAGCTGTCATGAACAAGCCTCCACATGGCTTGTATTGGGATTGAAAGTCCACTTAGTCATCTGTTTCTGCATGAATTCTGAATACCCATTACAGAAAAAAATACCCAAAACAAAGCGAGGTAGAAATCACCTGTGTCTTAGGTTAGGCATTTCTTTATCACTAAGGCAGCAAGGCAAATTTTCTGGATTAATGGTTGCCAGAACCCAAGAAGTGAAGGTGTGAATGTTGATGTAGGGCAGGCTAAGCTAACCCAGCATGAGGGGAGGAAGCCAGAAAGAGCCTGACAAAGTGGACATATGTTTTCTTGGCTTCAGACCTGCTTTGTAAGGACCAGCCTCAGCGTTAACCACAGCTGCCTTGAATGGTAAATGGAAATCCAGTAGACATAAATCCCTGTATGTCTACATAGTAGTGGGAAGGGGAGATTAAAAGCAGGATTTCTTGGTGCACGGCAGAGGGTTTCAGTCCTTTCTCAGCAGGGTAAGTGGAGTCAGTAATAAGAGCCTGAAAAAGGATCTAGTCCAGCAGGAGAAAACAGTTGAGGTGCTGCTTATAGAATCACAGAAGAATTAGGGTTGGAAAGGACCTTAAGATTATCTAGTTCCAACCCTCCTGCCATGGGCAGGGACACTCACACTAAACCATGTCACCTAAGTCTCTGTCCAACCTGGCCTTGAACACTGCCAGGGATGAAGCATTCATAAATTCCTTCCTTGGGCAACCCATTCCAGTGTATTACCACCCTTCTGGTTCCTCACCACTCTTACAGTAAAGAACTTCTCCCGTATATCCAATCTAAACTCACCCTTGTTTAAGTTTAACCCATTACCTCTTGTCCTGTCACATCAGGGGAGCACTCATATTTGCTTGAACAGATTTCTCTGTTTCTTTTCCTCAGATGAAAGCCAGAATTGCAGTCAATGCAAATGCAAAGACCACCAGGCTTCTATGGGTCGGCCTAGCTCTGATGTCTACCCAAGGGGGAGCGTTGGCATGGCTCACATGGTGGGTCTATTCATGGGACATCATGGAGCCAGTCACATACTTCATCACTTATGGGAGTGCCATGGCTTTCTATGCCTACTTTATTCTTACTAAACAAGTAAGTCCTTGTTTTGTAAATGTCTGGAGTATTGTAAAGGAGGAAAACTGACTCTGAAAATCACAATATTTGGGCTCTGATGAAAATACAATTCAGTAAGTAGCCTTGCCATCAGACCTGGTTGATCCCTAATGGGGCTGGATATGAACACTACATTGTATGAAATCATGCCAGGTAACTGTTACACGTGAACTTCCATACCAGCCACTTATTTAATAAGTCTCATTAGTGTTTTCTTTTAATATTTTGTAGATCACTTTGAGTAGTAAACAGCACATTGCTCATTGCTGAAACTGGAGAGCAAATAGTACCGCTGTGCCAGTTTTAGGAATGCTGCGTTACAGAAGCAAATCCCTGAACAGCAGCTTTTATTTGGAGAATTTTATATACAAGTAATGCAGAGTACTAAACCCTTTGGAACTCTGGCAGCTGCGTTACTGAAATATACCCGGTTCAGTGCCTGAAAAAATGTTACTGCTTTGCTCTTCATAATCTGACTGCTTTTCCTTGACATTGGAAAATAGGTTTACCTCCATTGATGAATGGAGGTAAACCTGAGACAGCTGAAATGGAGCAGGGAACAGGCATTGTTTAGAAGAAAAAATGTTTGCTGACCAACATAAAGACCAGATCTTAACTGAGCTACACAATACAGACTGTAAGACTTCGAGAAATGTTTCTTTTGCCTGTTTTAGCTCTGTACTTTACTCCCAGAGTGGACATCTTGATGTTGAACTAGTGTGATGTGAAAGTCTTTTTGTTATGGAGGTATGTGGCAGAGGAGCCAGCACTGCCTTCCATAATACCAATGGATCTATAGACCTTGTAAGACATCAGGCTCCTTTAGTGAAAAGGGGAGACGACTGTTTTTATGAAGAACTAGCTCTGAATACAAGTATTACTCCTCACTGATTTTTAAGAGAGGCTAAAGCATTCCTGTTTTTTTTTATATGAGTAGGTAGAGAGATTACTACTTGGCTTGACTATTACTGGCTCTGAATGCAAGTTTTACTCTTCCTCACTGATTTTTAATAGAGGCTAAAGCATTCCTGCTTTTGGTATATGAGTAGGTAGAGAGATTAGTACTTGGCTTTTTTGAACAGCTGCTGACACCATTGCTTGAGACTTTCAAATAAGTCTTTGAGAAATAGTAGCTGAAGTTTTTCTGACTCCTTGGAAGCAGTGTCCAAGTTGACTTAGTCAGTGGCTCCAGTCACAAAGATCATGCTGTGTCCTTATTGTAATTGACAATTTCTGTAGATGAGAAAGAAATTATTCCTACTGTATGTCTAAAAGGCCCTTACAACCTATAGAACCTAACTTCATATATAGTCTCTTAACAGAACATGTGCAAGTTGAACTAATAAATCTTCCTGAAATGGACCTCTACCCAGTTTTCTTGCTAACTCCAAATATGTGCCCTGCTTTCTTCACCAGGACTACATTTACTCTGATGCAAGAGACAGGCAGTTCCTCCACTACTTCTATCGGAAATGCAAAAAGCAGCATTTTAACGTGGAACGATACAACCAGCTCAAAGAAAACATAGCAGAGGTATTTAAATACAGTCCTTAAATAATGAGGTAGCCTCTGACTTGCTTAAGAATTTTTCAGTAAACTCTAAGCTAATAGAAAATTGACCTCAAGGTTTGCTACTTACATTTAAAACAGTGTATTACTTGTCACCCAGTTTCAGTTGTTTAAATGACCATACAGTGTTTGCTACTGACATACAAACTACTTCAGTAAGTCATCAAAAAGGGAGACCTTCATGAATTCAATTCAAAACAAATGTCAATGTCAGTTTATCAGCCCTGCACACCCATTTTTTCATATTCTACCGTGTTGCATTTTTTGCCATTTCAATAGAAAGCTGTATTGCTTCAGAGACAGTATGTTTGCTGCACTGCTGTGGTAGCACAATCCTCCTCCCTTCCGTGGAAGAAGAATGAATGTCTTGCAGAGTTCAGTATCTAACATGTTAATCCTATTCCTAAAGTAAAAGCTTAGATTTATAGAATACAGACAATGGTATGGAAAAGGAGAAACTTTTTGTGGTCTTCAGGAAAGAGTGTAGCAGATCTCTCGCTCCTCATTTCTTACCCCCTCATCCCATCTCACCAGCCTTTTGCTCAATGTCTCATAGAAGAAAATTGAAATTACCCATAATTTCAGTTCATTTCATGAGCCACATTTGACATAAGGCTAGAGTTTGATACTTTTTCAGTAGCCTAAGAGTATGAATTTTGCGATTTTAATTTCAGGAAAATAATACTTTGGGGTGTGGGTGAATGGTAGGATGGGCAAGGCAGATGCTTCTCTCTGGAGACTGGCTGAATGACTTGAGCAGGTCTGTTAATGTTCAGTGCCTTCCATTTGAGTAGTTTGTTTTCTTGCGCAAGACCAGTGCCTTCTGAGAAAGATATGGGATGTGTGAAAGAGAATGAGAATATGGAGGGCTGCAGAAGGATGAACTCTCACTCTTTCTTGCACTGGCAGGCAGAAGAATCGCTCAGGCGCCTGCGCCAGACTCTGCAACTGAGGCTCCCAGTCCAGGAAATCAAGGACAAGGACTGACTTTGGTTTTGTATATATTAGAATTGCTCTTTCAAAGCTGATACAAACACTTAGTTGCTCTATAGGAACTGGATATTTTTGACCACTACAGTTTTGAAAGTTGCAATAAATATGTATAAAAATTATGTGGTTGCTTGATGGTTTGTTAGTTTTGTTTGTTTGTTTGTTTTTGGAGTTTTTTTTGTTTTTAAACCCTATGAAGAAGCTGCTGAATTTCTTCAAGATATTTGACAAATCTCCATACTAAAATGGAGACATTCTGCCTGTTAGCAAAATGACAGGGGTGTTTTATTAGTACCATTTACTATGGCACAGCAGTAGCTCATAGAATAATTAACTTCTGCAAAGAATTTTTTCCCTGAAATTACTGTTTCCTCTTCCCAGGTCTGAGCATTCACTCTTGCTGGTGTAACACCACTGGTGAGGTTAGGTGTGCATCACAAGTAAGCTTTCTTTAGTAAATACTGCTGGAAAGATAAGATCAAACTCATTTACTATAAAATAATTTGTTTCACTGTTGTATTTTATTGAAAGAATTTATAAAAAAAATCAGACATACATGATTTATACAAAGCTTAAAAATAGCCGTAGGAAGACTCAACATCTATGAGCCAGGACATGGCATATGGAAAGATTTAACTGAAGCAGAGCCATTAAATCAATTACATCATACCCAGGAAAGTGGATTAAGACACTCTTCTCAAATTCTCCACTGTCCCCCAGAGTTAAGCATATGTACCAATAATGTAAAAAATAATAAAAGAAATATTTGCTTCCAGTCGGTATCATTGAGCTACTGCTGATGCTGCAGTAGTAACAATCCTATGCTGAAATGTCCTATGGTGACAAGTGCGCCATCACTTTTATGTACACAGTGACAGTATGGCTGATCTCCTCTGAGGCCAAGAGGAGGAAAAGGCTGATCCAGCACCAAGGTCTTTAGTATGAAGGCTTGCGTATATAGTATTTTGCAGAGCTGCCTAGAGATGACCAGAAGTTGTAAGTAAGCCTGGAATCTTGAAATGATGTGCTTCAGCTTTAGAGATATGTGCAAGGTGAGCTTATGCAAAGTCACACTAAGCAAGTGGTGCATGGTCTCACTTAACTGCTGCTTGCTTTTCTCCTGAGGATACAAAGCACCAGCAAGCTGTAATTGTGCCCCAAACATAAATGATGTTGCAAACAAAAAGCAGTCTTCTATCAATATATATTAATGCTACAGTTGTACTCAAGTAATTAAGCTCCTCTTTAGTGTTGAGAGAAAAAAAACAACATCTAAAAAGCTCAATAAATGCACAGAAATTGGAAGGTGGATACTGCTGTCCACAAATTTCAAAAGATGCCCTACATATTCCCTGTCAACTGCGCTCTAGGAGCAAGTTAACCTAATGCAACATTTGAAATGTTTTGCAAATATTAAAATGTGCCATAGTTAGACACCAAAAAACTTTTAAGGGAAAAAGTAATCTAGAATACCAGTTCCCATAAAATCTTAGCACCTAATAGTTTTGCACCGATCAACATTTCCCAAATTCCCTGAGAAGAACAGAGCTGTAAAACTAGCTTTAAAATTCCTTTAAGATTTTGGAGACTATTATGTATACAAACTATAATGTCTGATCACAGTATTTTTGCAAATAATCTTGGAGAATATTAGTCTCCTGAACTAAGACGGTGTGTCTTTCACCTCTGCAGTGAGTACTAGTTAATGGTTGTCATTATTCAGTAACAATCTACTTAGATTTTGGATGAAAATACAATTTTTTAGTTAACATTGAGGCAAAACAAGGGATCTGTTTTTTTCCTATAGCATTAATGTCTCTGCATATATCCACTTTGCGATAAGATACTTTCCTGTTAACGAGAGTAAGAAGTTCTGTGAACTCCAAGGAAGAGCCGTGCTTCCTAAGTGCCTCACACAAATCTTGAATGTACCAGGAGCCATTTACAGTTTCACGATGAGAAAAGTAACCTGTTGTAGAAGAGGAACATAAAAATATATCCAAATATAAATAGTGATGCCATTCGAAAAATACATGGACAATTACTGCTTGCTAGCTGCATCCGTAAGGGATTACTAATGGGTGTAAATCTTACTTTGCCAATTATGTAATTTCACTGGAAATTGTAGATCAGAAATGGCTTTGAGATCACTTACAGTGCTTAGCCAAGATAAGCGTGGTTCAGGGGCTGACAGCTTACAGGATTGCATCTGCACATTACAAGAAAGCAGATGGGACTGAGGGCAAGATACATGGAGGAGCACTTTTTCCTTAATATGTGAGGCTCTTTCCCAGACAAGATGTCACTTATCAGACACGTAAAACAGATGACTTGGAACTGTACTCATTATTTTGACTGCAAAATGAATAAATGTTAAAGCTTGTTATGGTGAAGTATCAGACACTGAATGTAAAATACTAGAACTTACCTTGTGCCACAGAGTAGCACATGATAAAGTCTGCACCAGCAGGCAGGGTATAGATACCAGCTGCATCCACTTCAGTCTCATTGACAATGGATTTATCACTACCGTCTAGTGAATCCTGAACAATAACTGGATCATCATGTTTATCACCTCGACATGCCTGTTGATTAGAAGTATTGTTATGCTTTCACCTCTTCCAAGCTCACCTGTGTTAACATGATACTTCTCATGCTAACCAGAGGGACCTTCTCTTGTTAGATGTTTCCACATTACCATGAGTCTGAATTCATAAAGACCCATTTGCTTCTCTGTCAGTTAAAACACCTGTGCTGAAGCCCAGAAAAAGCTCTGAGATGATCACAGAATCACTGAGATTGGAAGGGATCTCTTGATCCTCTTGAAATCACCTTGTCCAATCCCCTAGGCTTAAACTAGATTAAGTTGTCCAGGACTGTGTTCAGTCAGCCTTCAACTATCTTCACAGAGAGAGACTGCAGCTGAGTGTTTTCTTGTGTTTAGATGGAATTTCGTGTGTTTTAATTTGTCCCTCTTCTTTATTGATTTCCCCCAGCTGTTTATAACATTGATAAGATTTCCCCTGAGCAGCCATCTCCAAGCTGAACAGCCCCAGCTCTCTCAGCCTTTCCTCATATGAGATGTTCCAGTCCCCCAGTTATCGTTGTGGCCCTTTGCAGGACTCACTTCAGGAAGTCCGTATTTGTGTTGTACTGGGGAACCCAGAACTGGACACGGTACTTCAGATGCAGCTCACCAGTACTGAGTAGAGAAGAACAATCAGCTCCCTCAGACCTGCTGGCAAGGCAGTGCTGAATAAAGTACTACAGTTACAATCTGCTGAGGGCCAGCTTCTCCCATGAGTTTGCTAATTGTAATCTGAACAAAGATGGGATAAAGCTCTGTGTAACCTGGTTTCACCCCATAACTGACTCTTGCTTTGAACAGGAGGCTGGAGCAGAGACCCTGAAGGTCCCTTCCAACTTGTATTATTCTGTGAACAGAGGAATAAAATGCGGGGTTACATATGGGCTTTATTTGACCACTTAGCACAAACCGTATTTCTGAGACTATAAAGCCTTAAATTGATCCTTTGAATTCTACAGAGATGCCAAGTACTGGTCATGGACAAAAAAGAAACAAAAGAAAAAAACAGAGAAGAAAACCCAACCAACTAAAAACCCAACCAACCAACCCCCAAAACAAAAATATACACTCACAATCAATTTGACAAGGGCTTAGTTTGGGTTGCTTATTAAATACAGCTAGAATCATAATAATAACACTCATATACATAAGGGTTGGTTTGTTGGGTTTGGTTGTTGGTTGGTTGGGTTTTTTTTTTAAGAGTCCTTGTCTTAAATTCTTTAAGGAACAATTTTCCATAACTTCTTTCCTACAGATGCAAAAACTTTCCCTTGTAGAAGGACTGTGTTAGGAAAAAGAACTCCTGTATTACAAGAAGACATAGGTCAGAGTTAACATCACTGAATGCAGAAACAAACATCTTACCTGAATGATAAATATCTTTGGTTTTCCTACCAGACTCTGGCACTTGTCTCCTCTGAACATGTCAGTGATTGTCTCAATTTTGATGTAGGTATCGTATGCATAAACATGATCATTCTTGCCATGACTCAGGAACACACAAACAAAACAGTCAGCATTACTGTGGTCATCTTTGGAGGCTGAAATAGTCAAGTGCTGTTTAGATGACTAAACAGTGTCCTTTAGGCTTAAAAAACATTGTACATTTGTATCGTATCATTCAATCTCTGACTAGTCCTGTTTCAAACCCTATTTTCAGATAGTGTAATACTGCAAAGATTTTGGAGGTGCAATGATTTAACATGGCTGAAGGTAAAGGCTGCTAAAAGTAGGAAGAATAATGTTACGCAGTCACTTTCTTTCAACTCTTGGCAACTTCGTTAGTTCTCTCCACAGAAGCTTCACTTACGCTGCAATAAAATAATCTGAAGCCTAACCCTTAAATTCTTCTAACGTTAAACAACTTCCTTCTGCACAAAAATCATTTTAAGTTGGATGAACAGAGAGAATGGAACAAAAGATACTTGGAAATTCTGCTACAAATAGACATAAGAAATACGTAGCCTCCTACCTTCAGAAATTTTCTGCAGTACATCTTCTGCTTTCAGATCATCAAAATGTCTGACTTCAAACCCAAGCTCTGTCAAACTATTGTTAAAACACATGAGTATTAGTAAAAATTTTGCTCAAATTATGTCGGTTTCTGTGAGCTCAGTTGCTTTCCCTGCAGGAGAATGAATATTCCCATTTATGCATTATTTATGAGAGCAACTACTAAAGTTGAACTCAAGCTGGTGTCAAGTGCAGGTGTGACACCTAAAGTTATTTCAGACAGTTTTTCCTCAGAGAGCTCTGGACTCACTGAAATCACAGGACTTCTGCCAGCAGTTTCTGCAACTTAAAACAATGTCCCTTGAAGCTTTCTTATTACAGCTTTCTTTGCCAAGGTTGCACAGGTGCTTCTGTCTGCAAAATCTTTTATTCTATACTTAAATGTTAAGATGTGGGTAACTGCTTTTATGAATATCAGTTCTGAAGCTTAGCTTTTTAAGCTTTAGTAGAGAAACCAAGTTTCTTACCTGCGTTTTAAATTGTTTCTGTCTGCAAGAGTGCCACGTCTGTCTGTCAGCTTTAAATGCCAAAAAAAGTGCTCATGATTGAAGATTAATGCAATTCCTCTTCTTTGATGGTTCATTTTGTATTGCACTGCAGGATCAAGGGTTTGCCTGTTGCCAAAGGTGGAAAACATTCTTGATTAATGAATTAATGGCTAATTGGATTCCCTTCCTGTATTGCTGCTAGCTGAGATTTTTTTTGTTGACTAAATACTTGGAGGATCCATTTTTAGAAGACAAGACCTCAAAATATCTTAGGAAGAGCCTAAATTGCTAGGTATTTTTGAAAATCTTGGGTTTGTTAAGTAATTCAGTAAAAAGAAGTGTTGACTGCATACTAGACTCCATCAGGTAGCTGAACAGTTTCTCTACAATGTATTTGTATTTTCTCTTGTCAGGAGGCTGTCTCCTATAATAACACTATAGGGCATATAACAGTGCACTTTAGACTTGGCTTCAATTCTCCATGTTATAGCTAAGTATTATTTTAACATAACTGGATAGTGCTTATATACTTAGTTGGAACTGTAGCCGTTTCAAGTTCTTCTAACTAAACCAAGTACTGCATCATAAGCAGTAAACTAGTGATGATGTGGTATGCCCAGTGTATCTTGCAAAGAGAGAAGAAATTAAAGAAAACGAAATCAAAGCTATGCATCTAAGTTTTTAGCAACCAGCTGTCAAAATCCTAAAGATGAAGGACTGTTGTTCTGAAGGACAAAACAAATGACCTACCCAGCTTCTAAGGAAAGGACTTTATCATGGCAACTAGTGTGATGGTTGATTGAGCAATTTTACTGCTTTATGAGCAAAATGCAACATAGAAATCTATGATAGCACACCTATGGACTGTGCACTTGGACCCAAAAGGTTGTTTCCAAGTGTTGGCATAGCTGTATTTTGAGAGACAAAGCAGACAATCTTACTGCTTTTGTAGACACAGAGATATTGATGCAGAAAACAGAAACTACAAGGCTCTGGTAATAGATAAGGCCAGTGTTAGAGGTACACAGAATGACAGTCCAGGTCATGCTGCCCTAGGACTGGCTGTAGTGACAGCTGTTATTTTTGGCATGTAACTGGGTTGAGTTGTGGGTATTTTTTCCCTGCTATGGAATGGTCAGTTTGGTGCAGTTTTTTTCTCCTTGGGTGGTCAACCTATGCAGGAATCATTCCTTTACACCGCCCGCTCCCCCACCAGGCTATTTACAGCAGCATTTGAGAGTTCTGAAGGTTTTGGATAGCCTTTGAATACCCTTGAGACCTACCTGCTGATTGCGATGGGGATCAGCATGTCGGTACACATACAGTGTATTTTAGCCATACCACCCTGAGAATGGCCTGTTTTGTCTGATCTCAAAAGTTAAGCAGGTTGCTTAGAATATTTGCCTGCAGACATTAGAGTGCAGTTTCATCAGCCAAATGCTTTTGTTTCATTATAAAATGACCAAAGTTACCCTTAAGCTATTTCTGCTTCTCCACTGTATTATCAGCAACCCATTCATAAAAACATCTTTTTGTAACATCTGAGAATTCAAACAGGGAACAGGAATTCTGGATGACTCTTAGCATCTGGATGACTCTTAGCGTCAATGTTTCTACAACACTGGCTGGATAACCAATAAGAACAGCTCTTAACAAAAATCAGAAAACCCTGCACTGACCTCAGTGCCATGGGCAATCTCCCTGTCACTGCCATCAGAACTTTACCTTACATCAAGCGCATCTACTTCTGTGATGTTCTGATTTCCATCTGTTAAAGAGATCAAAAAGATATTTAGCCACTAAATCATTCATTGAAAAGAAACAATTAGAACTTGTGCATCCAGCCTTAAAATTTAGCTGTTAATGTGAACCAAAAGCTCATTCACACATGAGGTGAGTAGGCATGCAGTTAAACGGCTTCATTAGCTTTTGGAGGCTCTTCTTAAAGTCCTGAATTTTAGTTGGTCAAGACATGCATATTTTATATCTGTGTATCTGTATCTACATAGACATATTCAGAGATCATGATTTTGTATAACTAGCTGGCTGTATTTAAACAGAGTGTCTAACTCAGTATTTATGATTTCACATAATCTGAAAATACACTGATGTTCCTTTCATTTCAGTAATGCTGCTAATGCAAAGCTGATCAGTCTCTGAGGTTGGATGCAGCATATGAGTTATAGTAGGTAGTGTAACAGTATGTATAGCTCATGACAACTGAGAAGATGCAAGATTTATACCTTTTCTTCTGCTAAACTAGATTGACATAAATATCTCCAGTAAGAGAAAGCACATAAAGGTAACTGTGGGAACAACCGGGAACATGCACATCTTGGGAGCATCAAAACTAAAGACTTGCAGATGGCTGGGCCAAAAAAACTTATTCCTTTTCCTTAACCTTTTCAATGGACTACAAAATCACAGCACCTCCTCCTACTGGTGGAGACTAACTACTACATTATGTTTATATATATTGTATACCGCATTATGTTTTACTATTTTATTCAATATTTTACTATTATATACTATACTGGACCTGTAGTGGTTACTGTAGGTCTGCTATCCAACTGGGCATGGCCTGCAATTGTAAGAGAAGATAGGTCACATATACACATATTTTACAAACTACTTGGTACATACACAGTACTATCTTTTCCCATCTTTTCATCACATCTGATTAAAGCCTTTTGCAAAACAAACTAACATAGCTATGTACTGATAGAGGAGAAACGCTCATCAAGATATTAGAATAAACTTGCAAAAAGCTAGACTCTGCCTTAGAAGCTTTTACGTTGAACATGACAGCACAGGAGGGTAGGGGTGGCTCAAAGAAAGTCACATGCTTCTGAGTGTTAGTATTTACACGTACACATCCCTGGCAAATACGGATCATACTTTCAGGTGTCGAATCTTACCATTACTGCTAGTAACCTGAACGCACAAAAAAAAAGGCTATTTCAGTTTGCTTGAAACGTATTGTGCAAGTCAGACTAATGATACAGGTGCTGGAAAATGAGTGTAAATAGAACACAGGCACACCACCTCTGCCTACGACTTGGTAATAGGAAGCCAGAGATCTTTTAAGAGTGCATCTGTTTGTGTAAATTTACACGGTGCTTTTGCTTGTGTGCCTGAGATCTGACTCATGCTTTTGCCTTAAGGGGACAGCAGACCATAAAAATGTTAGTCAACAAACTTTTAGACAGAAAATGCTGTCATGTAGACATAGGAAGAACAGAATTCCTGGGCCACAAAAAATCTAGGAAGGATAGTTTTCCTGTTCTTCTAATCCTGTTTAGTCAGTTCCCAGTCTTTAACTTTCCACTGCCACTGTCATATTGCAGTTTCATTCAAGTAAACTCTACTTAAGACATCAGGCGCTGCATTCTACTCGCAAGGCTACTTCCGCGTTGGCCGCCGCCAGCCGTCCTTCCCGCACGGCACCTTCCCCCCTTTCTCCGACGGGAAACAAAGGACCAGCTCCCCGCGAACGTCTGCAGCGACCTCCGGGCAGCGCTACCCCAGCTTCGGTCGGTTCGGGTCACACGAGGCTTGGGAAGGACCCTTCTCCTCAGCCCCTCGCACGGGAATCCCCGTCCCACTTTTCCCCTGCGGAGGGTAAGGGGCACCGAGCCGCGGGCGCCACAGGCCGCCTGGGAAGCCCCTATGGCCAGGGCACGAAGCGGCCCCGAGACCGCTGAGACCTTCTGCAGCCCCGCACGGTAACAGTGGGCGTTCCTATCCCCTGCCCTAACCCGTCCCCCCCGACCGCGGCCGCCGCCGTTACCCGCCGTCCGCCTCGGCTCTTCCCGCCGACCGTCTGCTCCCGACATGACCGCGGACTGTATCACCCCGCCGCCGCTCCTTCCCGGGACTGGCCCGCCCGCCCGGCCCGGCCCACGTTCCGCCTCGGAGGAGGGCGGTTGTCGCCTTTACCTCCGCCGGCGGTCGGCCCCTGTGTAAGAAACAGGACGGGGGACAGAAGGGACCCCGGCTGGGTCGTGCGGATCCCGGTGCGGGAGCAGCGGCAGCAGCGCTCAGCGGAGGGGCCACGCTGCGGGTCTTCGGGCTGCGCCGGGGCTGCGGGGGTACCGCCGCGCCCTGACGGTGGATCCGTAACGGCGATGGCTTGGTGTTCAGGTCCCTGCTCGGGAGATGGCAGAGGCCGGCTGCTGCCAGTCGGAACTCAGCCGGGAAAACTGAGGAGGGGTGCGTTAGAGTCTGCGATTACTTTTTAAGTTTGCCACGCATCACCTGTGTTCCTGTGATGTGTACTTCAGTGGCCGTGTTCCACGGACCGCACTGCCATAGGCAGCGTCCTGAAACATGGCGAGAAGATACTGTGTTTGCTAAACTGAGATTTTTCAGAACTGTACTTGAAGCCCCCTTAAAGACACATACTGTTGTCTTGCGGTAAAACTACTGTTAGCCAAAATGCATTTTTGGACATGCACCCACATGTAAACCCTCGAGAGGTCCGGGTGTGTGTAATTTTGCAGCTTTGTGCTACTCTTGCATCAGTTCTCTTTGATCTCTCAGAACTCTGAGGAGAGACCCAAGGTACTGAGCAGAGCGCTGAGATACCGTTAACAAAGGCTGATATTCCCAACCTGTTCATTGTATGGCACTTACTGTTGTAAGTAAACCGATCAGTTTCTAAACCAAAGCCAATGACATAAACATCCTTCTGTATAAGAGCTTTGCAGATTAGTACCATGAATGGGTCTGAATTTCCTATCTGGACTATTCCTAGGTAGGCACTAGGATAAACGCGGGTATGAATACACTCTTAAGAGATTGCTGCAACAAGCATGAAAAGAGGTGGATATAGAGTGGGTATTTTTACCCAGTCTGGTCTGTTTTTCCACAGGCTTCTTGCATGAGTTAAGCCTTTTAGACAAGACATCTCCTTTTTGGTTGAAGGAGCCACGGGTATTTCTAATTACCTTTGCTTGCCTTCCCTTTGTTTAGACTTGTCTTCAGACTGCCAGCAGGCAGCGAGATCAAGATAAAACCATTGTTTAAATTGTCTTTGTGTACACTGTAGTTAGAACATGATACCATTGTAACAGCTCAGTGTCTTCCACTGTAAGACACTAAATGTGGAACATTTAGACTCTTAACAAGCAGATTCATTGTTTTGCAAACTCCAAATCCCAGCTCTCAGCTCATGCTAGAGCTGCCCTAAGCCCACTGGCAGCAAGTGTGAAGTAGCAGCTGTAAAACCTGAATCTAGGACTCTGCAACAGCTTTGCGTTCAGCACCTTGAACTTGGTCAGCCCTGCTCCTCAGTCCAACAGTTTGCGTAGATCCTAGTAAGACAATCAAACATGTTTTCCACTTTGTTCTGCTGGAGGTGAAGAGCATATGCAATCAGCCAGTGTTCAGATGAGTCACCGGAATGTGATCACGGTGTATGATGCCTAAGATAGCGTTTGACTGCTGTGCATTTCAGTTGATTTTAATATATGGAAGTTTTTGTTATATGCGCATGTACGTGTTTGAAACACTCTCAGATTGTTGCAGTAGCTTCACCGTAAGTTGGAAGTAGGTATTTTTGGAACAAGTATTATGGATGTATCAGAAACGTGGTTCAAAGAAGTAAGTTTGATTGCGGACACACTGCTGTTGTTCAGATCACAGAATGGTTTGGATCAGAAGGGACCTTAAAGATCATTCAGTTCCAAACCCCCTGCCACGGGCAGGGACACCTTCCCCCAGACCAGGTTGCTCAAAGCCCTGTCCAGCCTGGCCTTGAGCACTGCCTGGGATGGGGCAGCCACAGCTTCTCTGGGCAACCTGTGCCACTGTCTCACCATCCTCACAGGGAAGAATTTCTTCCTAATGTCTAATCTAAATCTCCCCTCTTTCAGCTTGAAGCCATTCCCACTTGTCCTATCACTGTATCATCCAGAAAAGCAAAATAGCCTGAGGAAGGCAACTGGAATAAGCCTTTAACCTGTAAGAAAAAAAAAAAAAGTAAAATCATTGCAATATTTAGAGTATTACAGATTACATAAAAGCATGCAATACTGAGTCACATGCCAAGAGCTGCTATATATAGTATTGTTCTGGTTTAATAGGGCAGGTGGATAACACACAGCCGTTTGATTGCTCTTCCACAGCAGAAGGGAGGAGAGAATCATAAAAAAGGTAAACTCATGGGTTGAGATAAAGACAGTTTAAAAGGACTGGAAAGGAAGGTTAAAATAATAATGATAAAAGAATATAATAAACAAGTGATGCACAATGCAATTGCTCACCACCTGCAGACTGATGCCCAGCCAGTCCACGAGCAATAGGACAGCTGTCATCCCCCAGGAACTCCCCCCAGTTTTACTGTACAGCAGGATGCCATATCATATGGAATATTTCTTTGGCTAGTTGTGGTCAACTGTCCTACTTGTGGCCCTTCCCAGTTTCTTGTGCACCCCCAGCCTACTTGTTGGAGGGGTACTGAGGAGGTGAAAAGTCCTTGACTTGGGCTAAGCACTGCACAGCCACAACTAGAACATCTGTGTGTTAGCAGCATCGTTCTCAGACTGAAACCAAAACACAGCATTGTACCAGGTACTAGGAAGAAGATTAACTCTATCCCAGCTGAAACCAGGACAAGTATTGTTTTTTTATACTTACATATAAATATGTAAATTGTTAATGGTATGATTAATCCTGGGGGTGACAGCTAGTCTTGATTTTGGGGCTGTGGCCTGTAAAATGCAATTTGTGTAGTTTGCAGGTAACTGTAATCCAGGATTTCTGCTGCAGGAAAAGCTTAAGCAAAGTAAAGATTTTGTGGAAGAAGTCAAATGCTTCCTCTGGTTTGCAAGCATAACTATTAAAGTGCTATCCAGAAGGGTTAAAGCTCTTTTCTGTGTTACAAATGGTTTGAAGGAAACTCTGGACAGCTTTCATGGTATAATTACAGATCAACACAGAAGGGAACAAAAACAGTGAGGATTTTCTGTGTATAAGCATCTAGTTTAAGCTCTTCCTACCCAATTCTAACTGAATTACAGTGTTTTGGACTCATAGTGGTACTTTTTTTTTACTTTACACAAGCAATGTCATTACCATTCCATCCTTTGGTGTTGTCAGACTTTCAGGATTCCAGCCATGGAATCCCAGGGTAATTCAGAATTCTTTCAACTCTATGGCAGAAAATACGTTTTGCAAAATTTAGAGAAACCACAGGTTCTTCAAGCACAGTTTTGTAAAACTCTATAGTAATGCTTGTCCTACAGTGCTACTTCATATCCACAAATAGGAAAAGAAACCACAAAGCACAGCCAAAGGACTTTAGCAGGAACTTTATTCTATGAGGCACTTACATTCACTGTCATGTACAGTAAGCTGTCCTGGTTTCAGCTGTGGTAAAAGTTAATTTTCTGCCTAGTAGCCCTAGTGAAAAACAAAACAACCCACAAACAACTGATACAGAAAAAACATATAAAGTACTTCCAGAGGAGAAACCATGTTACAGTTGAGAAGTCTGGCAAGTTTTAGGCTTTTAGCATGGCTTCCACTCCCTGCTCGCAGACACAGTATTTTCAATTTCAGTCCTCCTGTGGATTTCTAAAGCAGAATCGGGGGAGCAGGATTTCATGACAGAGGGCCTACTGCAAAAGTTCACTACGGACTGACAACTGGAGGTAAGCAATGAAAGATCAGTACAGGGAACAAACCCAAAATAATTCAGACACCAGGTGATTTCGGCTGAAGAAGTCAGAGAGCAAAGAGGTGGCAGAAGTACAGGCTCAGATGCTTCTCATCCTCACAGAGGTCATGGCAACAGATGACAAATACAGGCTCAGATATCCATCAGCCTCGCAGAGGATATTTTAAATAAAAAGGTTTATTGGGCATACTGACCCTAACAGTGGAACTTTTAGGTTTTATCAGAAAGGACTAAATGAAAGATCAATACAGTAACCAAGCTGTGCCACAAGACAAAATATAAATCAACTTCTTTAACAATGTATCTTTTCTATGCATATAATACATAACAAAAAAAAATGTTCTATTTGAAAAATAAACATTTGATTTATTTCTAAAATAACATAACTACATTCCACCATTCTGTCAGATTAAGGTTTGCAAACTGTTCATTTCAGTGGTCAAGCCTTAAAAGGATCAACATACTTGATAAGAAAAGTCCTGCAGAAGTAAGAATGATGTAGAATCAGGTAGAAATATGTTGTGCAGATGTACACCCTTGCTCAGGGCTTGGGGGTTTTGTTTGGTTCTGTTTGTTTGTTTTAGTAACAAATCCACGGGACAAAATCCATCAGAGAGAACTGAAGGCAATTGTACCACAAGCAGGATCTATCAGGTGCATCAACTGCTAGCAAACCTAAAATTT